CAATGTAGCAAGAAAACAAGCTAGCATTTTCAATTAAAATCTAGAGTAAACAAAATAATCGGAGAATAGATTTGTCATAAACTACATTTTTTAGTGCTTGATTGATCAGTATTATTGAGTATTATTACACTATATTTAAAATGAGAAAAATAAAAGTGTAATTTCATGGTTCTAATTTAGCTATGAATATGGTAAATAATTTCTTTCCTAATTGACTTCAGTTTCTTCATTTACAAAATGAGACAGTCCTTGGATGTGCTAATCTCTATCTATCTGTCTATCTATCTATCTATCTATCTATCTATCTAGCATCATCATCTCTATTGTTCTTGAAAATAGATTTACTATAAACTGCAAAAATTTCTTCTGAGATGGCTTTTTGTTTTCACTTTTTAGACTTGGACTTGGTTTAATTTTAGGAATAATGCAATATTGGAAGCTTTTAATGTCATCACTTTTGGTGTAGAGGATGTAATAAACACCGCTATCATAGATTCTATTACCATTTTTCCTAATGGATGTCTTTTCTCTTAACTTGGAAAAACTTATTTAGTACTACAATTACAAAGTATGAGGTTTATAAAACATTAAGGAGGACTTTGTTTCATGGTGAAACTAACTAGAATATTGAGCCTAATCAATATCACTCTTTCAGCAAATATGGAATCTGAAATGGTTCTTGGATATCAGTTCTTATTTTGCCTCTTTCTTTCTACCTATTCATGTTATAATTAATCAGTTAATAACTAATTAATCAAATCACTAGACTGAAGAATTCATAAATCCAGCCCTTTATAGAAGTTTCCTAAACTTCTTCCCCAATTCTAATCATGGCTGCCACTTTCTACAATGTGATATATTTCTCTATTCTATGAAATATTGGAGTAAGAATCAGGAGAGATTACAGTTCTGACTCCAGCTCCATTGCTTATAAGCTAAAAGCATATTGACATGACATTTAAACTTTTAGAACTTCAGTGTCATTATCTTAAGAAATAAGGTTGCAACTACTGTCCTATGAATCTGAGGGAACTCATACATATCTCCAGTACATTTTCTAAGACCCAGAGTTGGACTAGGTTTCAGTAGTTCTTCTTTAACCCAAGAAGATGTGGTCATTCATTTGTTCAATGAACATTTGTTACCCATTTAATATGTCCCAGGACATATTGCTAGGGAAGCAGTAGCCTAGGGCAGCTAGAGTGACATATTTTAAATCAATTCCATTTTAAAACTGGCAAGGCACATTCCTTACAAGTCATGACCCATGGTCCTAAGATGTTTACAGCTAGGGAAGCAGCTTGGTAATGCCTGAAAGGACAAACTCCTACAACAACAGAAAGTTCAGATGTCCCAATACCCGTAACAACGTACGTTTTCAGAATAATTATAGCCACTGTTAAAGTCACACTGAGCTAAGTACAGCAGGACATTTTTCCCTGTGCATGATTTTCTTACACTAATCCTTATGCTCCCGACTCCACTAACCCACCTGCAAAATCCCTATCTACTTGGATTGGGCTGTGTGGCTGCACTGGTTTTCCCAAACGTTGCTCTACTAATAAATATGTGACAGAATCTCTGCTCTGAAGGGATAAACTCTCATGTCTTTAAATTGGTGCCTGATTGTTGAGATACATTCCACCTTCAACACTCCCACTGGGCACCCAGCCCAAATGGCCTCTTTCCATTGTTTCCAGCCCCTTTGCCATCATTCAGTATGTTTCTTCTCTCTGGTGTTTTCTAATTTGTTTCCCTCTATCCTTGTTTTAAAGACAACCCAGATGCCCTCTCCCCCATAAAGCCTCTAATCTAATGCTCTCTTCTAGTATGAGCTGTTACGGAACTTTGTGGCTCCTTTTTGGCGTTCATTATTGTTTTTCATGTGATATGGGGTATTTGATCTATTTTATCTTCCTACAGATGCTAGCTGCATGAGATCAGGTATATATCTTATATTGTCTACCAAGTCTTAAGCACAGATTGCTTAGAAAATTTTCACTTGAGTCCATATAGTCCAAGAACAGTGAAAGCAGAATCTTAGCTATATCTCATTCTGAAATCTCTTATTTTAACCATGTCTGCATCATATTTTGCCTTCACACCCCCTGGTACAGTGGTTACCAACTCTTAGTCTGTTTGAGGAGACATCAATTCATATGATTTTGCAGCATGCTGTAGAGAATATGATTGGCATGTTTACCTTTGTTTGATTTCATTATTGGAAAAGTTGTTAATCTGTGAAAGAGAAGTCAGGCTTTTTAAAACCCAAAGTATTTATTGATTTCTTATTTGGGCAAACATATAGGATAGATGAGATATCAATAACAGTTTTCGTTTTATTGATGAAGAGACTGAGGCATAGTGATTAAGACATTGAGACAATTATTGATGGGACTGGGACTAAGACCAAGGTTGTCCAACTTCTATCTATTTTTATCTTGCCATTATAAATTTTTGTGAATACTTCTACCACTAACTACATGGAAAACAAAACAGTGTTCTTATTTTATTATACTGCATTGATGGCATAATTATGAACACTTAACATATAAATTAAGAAAAATAAAAGGAATTCATGTTTATTAGGTATGATTTATGTGACAAATACTTTATGGAGATTGCAGCTTATTCTTTGTAAAATGCTAAAAGATAAGTATTATTATTACCGCTTGGTGCATGAAGAAATGGAGGCTTAGGGAGAGCAAGTAACTTGCCCAAGGTCACACAGCTGGAAAATAGCAGAACCTATGGGAGGGCTCTTTTATGAATAGTCCAAAACCTGAATGTTTGCCAGTAGTCAGTGGAAAGTGCAGCCTTGGATCCATTTTTTTTTCTATTACTTAATGTTGACAAGTTTGTTGACCTATCTGGACTTTAGTTTTATCCTCTGTAAAATGAGGGTAATGCCTGGTTTATTTCACTTAACATGATGATCTCCAGTTCCATACATGTTGTTGTAAATGACTGAATCTCATTCTTTTTTGTGGCTGAATATCCATAAAAATAAATAGAAAAAGAATGAATAAGACCTATTATTCCATAGCACCATAGGGTGACTATCGTCAATAATAACTTAATTGTATATTTTAAAATAAAGAATGTAATTGGATTATTTGTAACTCAAAGGATAAAGGCTTGAGGTGAGGGATACTCCATTTTCATGACGTGCTTATCTCACACTGTATGCCTGTATCACAGCATCTCATGTACCCCACAAATATGTACACCTACTATGTACCCACCAAAATTAAAAATAAATTAAAAAATAAAATAATTAAAAATAAATAAAATGAGGATAATGCCTATTTCTAATGATCGTTGTATAAATTTAACAAGATTTGAAGTGCCTTGTTTTTTGATTGAGGACAGGAAATGTGAAAAGGCACTTTGGCAGCAAGGTCACTGATTAGAGACTTAGAAATGGGATTCAAAGATTTCTGATTCTAAGGGCAACTGCTCTTTCCATTATAATATATACTTGGTTTGTAGTTAATGGGAGAGGAAAGCCTTTTTTCTTATATTTCACAGAACATACATGATTTTCCAATGAAAAAGGAAACCAGATCTGGACTGTTTCTGAACCATCAACTGTCAATGTCAGTATATCTGTGTACCAGCTACAGGTGGTTCTGCAAAATGAGCTATGATGTGCCTAATTTAAAACTAGAACAATCACAACTCATGTATAGATAAACCCCAGTAAATCCTAGTGTTTTTGGCTTAAAAACTTTTCGGTACCTTTCATGATGAATATGGCTGCTCTATTCTTTAAGGCAGCCAGTGTGTTTCCCAGACTTTCAACTATGTTGCACTGGAGGAAAGGTTCAAATAGAAAGATAATTTATTATAAGTATTCAAAACTGTCAGTGTGACAGAATTTCATCATATCTGGAAAACGTTAGCACTCTTGTTTTCAATTTAATATTTTGTAGCCTTTAGAACATGTGAATAAAAATTATGTAATTTTTTCTTGTCAGTCATGGATACATCAGGGTTAATGAGACTGTTCTTTGATAAGGGCCTGGGCATGCTGGTGGAGGGCATGGAGACCCATGGCCCTCAAGGGAAAGCTAGGGTATAATTAAGTTAGAAGACAGGACTAATTTTAGCTGGGAGCAGGTAAGTTAATCATGTGGATTTTACAATCTTGCTAAAATCAGCCTTAGAGATTGAGCCCAGCTTTATATTTCTTAGAGTCCCAGAGTTCTTGCATTTCCTCTGAAGGCCAAGGAGATGTCAATATGTAAAGATGATGAAACTTTGAGGCCTACTCTTTTTAACATTAGGCAGAGAAGGTTAAAGAACCTCCGAGGTTGTTAGTCGAACCCAACCACTTGACCCGCTAAAAGAAAAGCTGAGGACAGAAAAAAAAAAACAAGACAATTTTATTCCCTAATTATAGCTAGTTACCAGCAGAACTTAAATCTCTGGCTCTTATCTTTGGACTTTGCAATAGTTAATGATTTAGTTGCTGGTGGCAGCAGATTCAGAGAGATAATACAGGCACTGAAAGCACAACAAACTTCTTGTGGGCAAAAAAGTCTTATCTTTATGCCCTCTAGAACCTGGCACATACATAGCACTTAAAATATTTTGGTAAATATATCAAAGTAAAGATCTCAGACTGAGTTAAATTGTCACTCACAATTGCCTCATTCTACCTGTTTTTAACTACATTTTCTCTGACTTTTTTTGAGAGTAAAAGAAATTTCAACATTTGGACTGGGCATTTCTCATGACCCTAGGAAAAAAAAATACTTCACAGTGATTGGGTATTTCTTTCTTCTATCAAGTTCTGCCCCAATTTCTAATTAATATGTGAACCAACTTTAAATAAGAAACAAAAGTATCTTTCAGTATGTCTTTCAAAAATACTAATTTAATTTATATTTCTTTCAGATTGTAGAGTTAAGGATTAGAGACCACCCTTCAGAATGTAATATTCACTTAGCAAGAAGATGATAACTTTGGTAGTGTTCATCAAAAACTTATTTGCATTTCCTATCTTTTTCCACTACTATCATTTACCTATGACAAAAACAGATTTTCATTTTGTGTTATTATGATATATTTTTTTCAATTAGTTTTTTGAAAGCAGCTTTCACATCCTTGTTCCTCAAACTGTAGATCAGGGGATTCAACATGGGGATGATAATTGTGTAGAACACAGAGGCCCACTTGTCTTGGTCCAGGGAGTAGCTGGATGTTGGCCTCAGGTACATAAACATGACTGTGCCGTAGAAGAGGGTAACACCGGTAAGGTGAGACCCGCAGGTAGAGAAAGCCTTAAGGCGGCCTTCAGCTGAATGCATTCTGATAATTGCAATGAGGATAAAGATATAGGAGATGAAGATGATGAGGATGGTGCTGAATTCAATGAAGCCACACAGACTGAAGAGCAAGATCTCACTGATGTAGGTGTCTGAGCAAGAAAGGGCCAAGAGTGGTGGGATTTCGCAGAAGAAATGGTTGATGATATTGGAACCGCAGTAACTCAGGCTGAAGGTGAGGGTAGTGTGGGCTACTAAACTCACTAGGCCAGCCAGGTAAGAGCCCAGCATGAGAGCCAAGCAGACCCACTTGGACATGAGGGTGCTATAGTGGAGGGGTCGACAGATGGCCACAAAACGATCATAGGCCATGGCTGCCAGGACATAGCACTCAGCATCTACAAAACCTACAAAGAAAGCAAACTGGGTGGCACAGCTGGAAAAGGAGATAACCTTGTGCTTTGTTAGGAAGTCAGCCAGCATCCTGGGGGCAATGGCTGAGGAGTAGCCCAGGTCAACAAAAGACAGGTTGCATAGGAAAAAATACATGGGTGTATGAAGTTGAGTGTCTGTTGTAATCAGGATAATCATACCAACGTTCCCCACTACATTGACTAGGTAAACTATGAGGAAGACCACGAAGAAGATGATCTGCAGCTGAGGGTCCTGGGTGATGCCCATGAAGATAAACTCAGTCACCATTGAGTGGTTTTCTTTATCCATTGCATCAAGCATATGTGTACCTAGATTTAGTTTATTGATGGATGTAGTAATTCCACAGTCGCTGAAAATATTCAAACTAAAGACAAGCAATTATATGCCAGAGATATTGCAAAATATCTATTTATTTATTGTGTGTGTGTGCATATATTTCTACAATAAACGAAGGCTTTGTTTAGGATGATTCATAAAAATCTTTCCAGTAGTTAGATTCTAGGACCGATAGAATAACTCAAATGACTTTGTTAAATTTGATGATGTGTCCTCTCCATGTGCCCATTCACAACAGAAGGAAGTGTTAACTTCTTGGGAATGACACGTTCTGCTTCTTGAATGACCTTGGTGTTCTGGGGTCATTTATCATGTGATACTAGATGTTTGGCTCAGTCTGCACAATCGTGTGTGTTATTAATGAATAAAGAATAACAGTGTCGAATATTTCTTCTTTCTAAAACAAAGCAAATATAAAAGCAGATAACGAATAAACTTTAATTTTCATTACAGGTGGACATAGAAAGGAAAATAGATGACACAAGGATCTCAAAGTATAACGAATCACACATACACAGAAAGTAAACTACTTGGAGCTAAAGGTCAGAAATATTAAAAAAAAGTAAAATTTAATTTTCAAAAGCCAGAGTTACTGAGTTGTCCAGGAAAAATAAAAAAGCATATTTCTGATTTTAAAAACTTGTATCCATAATATAAAAAGAGATTTTAATACCTGATAATAAAAAATCAAACAATCCTATAAAAATAGGCCAAAAATTTCAAAGATACTTACTTACCAAAGGAGATAGCTGAATAGCAAATAAATGCATAAAATTGCTCAAATATTCATTAGAAGAATACAAGATAAAAACACAATAAAATAATGTTACACAGTAACGATTAAACTTTTAAAAGACTGAATATACCAAGTGTTGACAAGGAAATAGAGTAACTGGAAATTTCATCATTATTGGTAGAAATGTAAAGTAGCACAACCACTTTGGGAAACACCTTGGTAGTTTCTTATAAACTCATTTATTAACCCTGAAAACATCCTAACTGTACATAGGTGACAGACTAAATAAATTGGGGTATGTCCATAAAGTGAAATTCTACTTAATGATCAAAAGAATCAGATTATTGATACAAACAACTTGTTGAATGAATCTCAAAATAATTAGACTGAGAGAAAACAGCCAAATAAAAAGAGTGTACCTTGTGTGATTCCATTTATAAAAATCTAGAAAGTGTAAGATAATTAATATTGACAGGATGCAGATCAATGATCTCCTGGATAGAGGTATGTGTCAGATGGAGCGGAGGGGAGGAAGTATCAAGAGGCATGAGGAAATTTTGGGGGTAATGGATTTATCTACTCTCTTCATGGTGATAATGGTTTTGTGAGTGTATACATATATTAAGACATATCAAACTTTATACTTTAAACATATTTAATTTGTTGTACATCATCTATACCTGAATAAAGTTGCTGCAAAAAAGAAGAGAATACTTGTCTCTAGTTCAGCTATTTCTCACTACATGTGAATGCAGAGATCTTTTCATAGGCTAGATTGATGAGGAAATAAAAAGTTAGGCTGATGGACTGGCAAAGTCGCTTGCTGATTCTGTGAGTTGCAGAATCAGAATTTGGTACTACCAATTCCCTATGTAGTGCTGCATTCATTTTTTCCTTTTATTTCTTCATGCAGGAATTTAAAAATAACCCACAAGAAAAAAACAAAAACAAAGAATTATCTAACATTTGTCAGCGTGTTCTTCAACTTTAGCTAGAGAAAAAATAATCTTATTGTTGAAGATGGACCCATCTAGCGAACCTTATCCTTATATTTTTTTTTTTTTAAGACGGGGTTTCAATGTGTCTCTCAGAGTGGAGTGCAGAAGTGTGATCAAGGCTCACTGCAGCAACCTCCACCTCCTAGGTTCAAGTAATTCTCCTGTCTCAGCCTCTCAAGTAACTGGGACTACAGGCACTCACCATCACACCCAGCTATGTTTTGTATTTTTAGAAGAGACAGGGTTTCACTATGTTGGTCAGGCTGGTCTTGAACTCCTGACCTCAGGTGATCCAACTACCTCTACTTCCCAAAGTGCTAGGATTACAGGCGTGAGCCAGTGTCCAGCCTATACTTATAATTTTACAGATGAGGAAACAGACTCAGACACTAATTAAAATGCAGATATTAAATTGCAGTATTTAAAGGGGTAAGAAATAACCTTGTAAGAAGAACTGTAAGTCGGGACTCCAATCCACAGCTGGATATGTGCCAGTCAATCCATTTAATTGGATTGGAAAATGTAATTAAAAAATAATTCCTTTCTCCCCTATAGATTCAAGGCTCTGGTTAAATGAAGCAGTGTATGGGAAGGTGCTTCACCAGCAGTAAAGCATCCTGCCTGTTCTCATTTATAGTGAACAGACAATTACAGGTTTTACCATCTGCTACTCCTTATTTCAACACAAGACTCAGATTCTTGGAGTCATAATTTTTCATTTGCTCATTGAAGCTAATAATGACTCCCTCAATAAATTTCTGTAAAAATTTCTTAGAATATAGACAAATTACTGAATTTAGTGACATCATGCATTAGGTGCTTCATGCAATTGGTCACTGTGTGCAAGTATTGATGTTTTAATTCATTAGATGAGTGTGCACTCATAATTCCTAGAAAAAAATGTTTCATGCCTATTCCATAGAAATGATGTATCATGAACTGCCTGAACTTTTAGGGAGACATAGGTTTAATTCTGTAGCAATTCCATTAAAGGATATTTAGAGACAAGGCTGTAATATTCAAAATTGAGCTTGACTAAGACAAAAGGAAAGAAAACCTCTACACTTTTCTTTTTGGTCCCATGTCACCAAGGTGCAGCCCAGTAGACTCTAAAAGAAATGATAGAATATTCAGCAGATAAGCACATTCCGTTGTTAATAATAAATTCAAATATTTAACACAAGACCAGCACAAGCATTCTGTTATGGAAGTAAATAAAGGAAAAAAATGTATTTAAGATTTCTATGTATCACTTGCTTTTTCAAGTTCATGTGAAAAGAATAGTGGAGCAAGAGTATGGAGATCCTGTTTATAGTCTTATGCCTTTTAAAGAATCAATTGTTTGATCTCAGTAAATTGCTACGTTAGATGCACCTTCCTTATCTGTGATACAGATGGGGTGGTGAATACAAATTCTGTAGAATCTTCCATTCCTAGCATTTTCTGAATTTAGTCTTGTAACGAGACATCCTAAAAGCTCAACCCATGGTCTTTGTCTTTTTTTGAAATATTAAAATAGCAGGGACATTGTGACAACCAGAACCCATGCTCAAAGAGACGCTGGGCAACATAGTGCTCCACCCCAAGAGGTCACATCCCTTTCTACATTCAGACCTATGACCTGACCTGGTTTCCACCTGTTGGTGAGAGGTTGAGTGTTCCTCTTCTTTGATGGATTATACCATATATACTTTCTGTGAAGAATCCAAACACGGTGAATTAATCTGGTTGCTGTCTGAGCTACTTGCTCATCCCACCCTCGCTTCTGTGTGCAGGAGGTATTTAAGTGTCACAGACAATTCCCAGAAGAAATATGATGAAATACTTTCTGCACTCACAGGAAACACAAAGATTTGATGAACTGTGATCCTCCAAGGAATTTCACTCTCTTCCCCTTCGACTTTAATGATAAAAGAATGAAACACAGGGGAATTTTTAAAAGACATTCTGGTGATGATTGAGTTGGTAGGAAGCACTGCATGGGCTGTTTTGTGCAAACTAAAGATGCCTACATAAGGTGAATTAGGGAGTAGTTGAGAAAAGTCTTCCTACATTCTGCTCAACTGTCTAATACCCACTTAGTTAAACCGAATTGTTTCTTCTATGTGTCCCCCATTTATCCTGATTAGTACAATTAGAGATAATCCATCGTTGCTTTACTCTGTGTTACTGATATGATCATCCCCACATTACCACCTCTAAATCTTTATAAATACCCTCTTTCTCTCCTCATGTCATAATCGATAATGTGTCTCTGCTTTTACCTACGACCAGCTCTTTCATATCTTTGGAGCTTTCCACAGACTTTACTTCTAAAATTATATCTCTACTCTCCCCTTAAACTCTATCACAATATCCTCATTTGTATACAAATATTTTCTAGTGTCACCCTTCTTCACAGTGTCCATGACAGCAAGTCCCATCAAGTCACCAACTTATTAATTGATCCCTACTCCCTCTGCTATTAATCTTTCCAAAAAAGCTATGTCTACTCATTGCTCCTACTTCCTCATGTCTTATTTACCTTTAGCATGTTCCAGTTGTCTGTCTGTATCATCTGTCTGTTGAGCCTAATCTTGTAGAGGACACATGACACTTCAACACTACTTTATCCAAAGATCACTTCTCTGTCTCATTTTACTTGATAGCTCAGGAGGATTTGTCACAGTTAATTCCTCCACCTGCCTTGATATAACCCTACATATGTTTCTATATCACCTCACACTTCCGTTTTTCCTTCCTTCATTCCTACTTCTCCCCAGTTAGCATTTATTGTTTATCCCCAATCTCATGCTACCCTTTAAATCTTGGAGCAAAAGTGATAGTTTTGATATTTGGTTTTCTTCCTGCACTCAGTTCTTGAGTGAACATGAATCTGTGCCATGATTCCAAAATCTCTCTCTCTAGCCTTGACCTCTTACCTCTTACCTGTTATTTAATTAACAACCTGGCTTATAGAAACTTTGGATGCATAAAAGGATTAACAAATTAGTTTTCTCTTCTTAGTTGTGATACTCAGACATATGTAAAATATTCACACCTTTTGTACTACTAGAAAAGACTATACCTCAAAATCATACTTACGTCATTGGACTTAGAATTATCTCAATGTTAAGTCACAGATAATATTTTCTTTTTTTTTTCATTTTGATAAAGTTTATTTTCCTAGCAGGGTCATTTAAGTGCCATAGTAAAATAGGACATTGAAGCACCAGTTATAAACTCTGTGTTTAC